CATATGATTGTTGGGTTTTTCTCTGTATCTATGAAGCGCCTTGAGGCGACTTTTGTTGTGATTTGGCGCTATATAAATAAAATTGAATTGAATTGAATAGTTCAGTTTAAAATAGGGTTCATTCGGTCGGTCAGCAGGTGGCAGTATCCTCGTACACTGGGGAGTAAACTGCCATTAAAAGAAACAGAAGAAGAAGAAAACATCTGCACATCCGCGGTACAAATCGGGTAGATCCGATTTGTACGGTCTGAATTTGCACATACATGTGCAGTAAGGATCGGGGAGTCCTGATCTGTGGCTATCTTTTTATTTTTCATTTTTCTCTACGTTAAATATAAATGTTTCATTATAACATTTTAAGAGATACTTATTATTGTTAACATCTTAACAGATACTCTGACCCGTAACTATCGTAAATGAGCGGAAGTAGTGGCCTTTCGCACATGCGTGGTACCGATCGGGTAGTGACAGTGACATGCGCATCAAGCAGAGAACGCAAAAAATTCCCAGATGTGTTCTCGCTCCGCCCGTTTTATCGAGCATGCATTGGTGGTGACTTGTGTGAACTTGGTACAGCTAAATATCCCAGAATGCATTTCGTCCAATATTTAAGCACGGCAACGGCGGATGAGCGTGGCTCAATTTTTTTAAATATTACTCTTTCTGGGTCACAAAATAAACTTTTAAGTTATTTTCAGGATAGAATGTAGTTGTGTAAACTTCAAATATCTGCTTGATTTATCAAGATATCCCATATATACAAAAGTGCTTCGACGTTTCCAGAGATGTCTGTTACCCACCAGCTTGATAGCAGACAGCTTGATAGCAGACTATCAGTTGGCTTTAAAAGATATTTCTATAACTTTATAATACAAGTATTACAACTAAACACTACTGTTTTCTGAGGGGGAATTATGTAAATGTAACAGGAATAACATTTCAGAGCAATAAAATCCATTAAAATTAAAACACAAAAACTTGATGTGCACATCTATACTTGCATCTTATTAAATTTAAGATTCAGGATTATTTACTGCAGGTCCAGAAATCAGAGCTACCTTGTGAGATCCAAGTGTGACATCAGCTGACACTCTTTACAGGAGTCCATTGGAACTCTGTGGAGCCTGATCTCAAGGTTTTTAAGTCTGACCCTGAAACCAGAAGAGGATCTTTCTGTCTCTGCAGAGTCATTGTGATTCAGTAATAGTAATGATTTAATGATCACGCTTACTCTGTTTGCACAGAGCAGATAATGTATAATGAGAATGGGATCGTTTGTGTTTGGAGTGTGAACTGAGATTCCTGAAGCTCTTGTCACACTGGTCACAGCTGAAGTTTCCTTCAACATGTGTACGTTCATGAAGGTTACGACTGCTCGATTGTGAGAACCTTTTGTTACAGTGTCTACACTTGTATGGTTTCTCTCCTGTGTGGACTCGTTTATGTCTTTTAAGCTGGTAAGCACTGGTTACAGGCGTGCTTTTAAACCCCACCGTGGAACAGTTCATGTTGTTTAAAATCAGATTGAGTGGGGAAGCCTCTTCCACATTCTTTACAGTAGATCATTTTGTCTTGTGTGTGTCTAAGCTGATGCTTTTTTAGGCTTCGTTGCTGATTGAAAGTTTTTCCACAAAGGTCACAACGAAACGCTTTCCCACCACCACACTGACAATAGGGTTGAAAACTGGATCCATCTGTGTTGCTCTGCTTCTAAACAAAGACACAAAGACAGTGTGAGTCAGTCCTTCAACATTTTAATCCTGAACCCCACCTGAAATAAAGAGCATCTCTGACAACATCCTATTATATTTTACTGTTTACATTATAACACTCAGCTTAATGGGCTACAATAAATGTCTGTGATGCAGAGGAACAGCAAGAAGCACTGCTACCCTGGCTGCAAACAGACTCTCACCATACTTATACATACATAGGACATTTAAATAAAACTTGGAGACTATTAAAAGTCAGCTGATTCTGAGGGGGTCAGGTGGGATACACTGATTGGTTTTAGTTAGATGACCCTCCTGTTGTTAAGTTAGTGGATACAAGTAAAATGGATTGATTCTTATAAAGCGCCTTTCCACTCTGAGCACTCAAAGCACCTTATACAACATACCTTACTCACACCTTCACACAAATTAATAGGAAAGGAAATTTCAGGAGATTTTTAAATATATTTCTTTTTTTGAAACTTGGAAGTGAGAGTTAAGTGAGCTGGGACTGAGACTCCACTGACAGTGAGACCACAAATAAAACCAGATGTCCGTGTGCAAAATGGAGGAAATATACTGTGGAAATACCACAAATCTCAGAAATAAAATTTAAAAAGTACCATAAGTAACTGTGTAAAGATCTGGTCTTTATTTGGAAATGAATATATTTATTTTACAGGGTTCCTCTACACTATATATATCTAGGGATGGGTATCGAAAACTGGTTCTTGTTGAGAACCGGTTCCCACTGCTTCAGTTCCTTGGAATCGTTTGCCATTTTTGCAAACGATTCCCTTATCGATTCCAGTCGCCCTGAATGACGTCACCACATTGCGGAGCGTAATTTACCTGGCAGGAAACACTACGAATATGCAAAAGCATTTGCTCACAAAACACGCGATGACCTTAAATGAATGTCGTGTTTTTAATTCCGCTCCGGACTCGTGAATCTCAGCCCAGCAGCAGCGGTAACGTTTGCACGTCCTCTCCCGTTAATGCGGCAGGTAAATAAACAACTAACAGTGCATATTATGTTAGCGCGATCTGCCTTATCTGCCATTACTGCCATTACTGTGCGTTTAGGTGACCATGATGAGAGACACAGACAGAGTCTGGCTGGCGCTCGCTGGCAGTTCTTGCTGCAGTCTACCGGTAGCGTCTCCTTTCAAGCCAGGATAGACTAATGTTACCGAGCAGTGACTAAGCTTATGGTAAAAGGCTTGCACCCATTTGCCACAGCAGATGATTTTCAGTAAGTGAATGTGTTTAATTGTAGGCAGGGACATTACTGGATATTCTTGTGTAATTGCTACAGAATAACTTATGTTATACTTTGTTATTGCTACAGAAGAATATTTATTTTATTATTTTACATTTACAATTTTTTTCCCCGGGGTCCCTGTGACACCACATTGAAGAGCCGTAGGCTGGATCTCTTAAGATCTCACTGCTGGGTTTGTAAGGCCATGTTACTCCTAAATTTCTATCTTGTTCAAAGAGAAGATATAAAACAAAGTTCTAAGCTAATCGACCTTAGTGTTCTCCTTTTTTAAAAAGAATCGATAAAGAATCGAATCGTTAAACAGAATCAAAAATGGAATCGGAATCGTGAAAATCTTATCAATACCCATCCCTATATATATATATATATCCATGCTAAATGATCATAATTACAATAGTCAAAATCAAACTGAATCAGAATTTAAAGGAGTTGTAAAATCATACCCAGTCTGTGAAGGTTCTCAGTCGTACATTATCGTAGTCTAAGGAGCTTGTAAAGAAAAGCATCTGGAGTTTTTAAAGTTTCTCAAAGATGTTTCACCTCCCATCCGAGAAGACCAATTAGTGCCATTTACAAGAGCCATATTCCATTCGATCCAGTTACTGCAGAGTGACTGGAATTAAGGTGACTTTCCACCAGTAGCTCTTAGGACTAATTTAAATAATGCTTCAAAACAATTGCAACTGTAAATCCTCAAATATTGATACAAAGTAACAGTAATAATTGCTGTTAGTTAGATGACCCATCATGTTCTTTACTGACATTTTCCAAATTCCAGTAGATGCCATTGAGTCCAGTAGAATTACTAACATGCTAACACAATTTAATGAGCCAAACAGTGACACTGAAATTAGAAGTTATAAATATAAATACATACCTCACAGTAACTGCACTTGTAGAGTTTCTTCCTGGTGTGGATCTGTTGGTGTATTTTCAGGTAACGTGGAGATTTAAAAGTCTTCTCACACAGGTCACATTTATAAGGTCTCTCCTCAGTGTGGGTAAGCATGTGGCTTTGTAACTGTGCATCTGTTGTAAACGGTTTCCAACACTGATCACAGCAGTAAACATCCTGTCCAGTGTGAATGCGGATGTGTCTATTTAGGTCCCCATTGCGACTGAAAGTTTTTCCACAAATGTCACATCTGTACTTATTAATTCCAGAGTGGGTAGCTAGATGATTCTGTAAGTGGCTACTGTGAGTAAAAGCTTTGCCACACTGATCGCAGCTGTGTGCTTTAACTCCACTGTGGATGAGTTGGTGTGCTTTTAAGTGTCGAGCCTGGGTAAAAGATTTCCCACACAAGTCACAGGTGTACGCTTTAACTCCACTGTGGATGAGTTGGTGTGTTTTTAAGCTTCCAGCCTGGGTAAAAGCATTTCCACACAAGTCACAGGTGTACGGTTTAACTACACTGTGGATGAGTTGGTGTCTTTTCAAGCTTCCAGGGTGGGTAAAAAAATCTCCACACAAGTCACAGTTGTACTGTTTAATTCCACTGTGGATGAGTTTGTGTCTTTTTAAATGTACAGCCTGGTTGAAAAACTTTCGACACAACTCACAGCTGTAAGCTTTAACTCCACTGTGGGTCAGCTTGTGTCGTTTCAAGTTTCCAGCCAGGGTAAAAGATTTTCCACACTCGTCACAGTTATATTTCTTCTCTCTCTTTCTTCTGTGAGGTTTGTCGGCCTCCTGAGAGCGCTGACTTCTCGCTTCATGTTGGTCCTGCAGTGACAGAGATATAAACAGAGGCAGTGAGTGAAATGCAGTCGAGGAAAAAACTGAAACTCCATTAGTGGAATAAAAGACATTGTAGGTGTGTTACCGCCACCTTCTGCTTATATTATCACATTACAATGATGTGCTACAATGAGAGTTGTAACGTCCACAGTGATATTTTTGCTCACCTTTTGGGTTGAAGTCATTGTTTCCTCTGTAGTGGCTGAGCTGAGTCTAAATGGCTCGTCTCCTCCTGATGATCAGCTGGAACAAAAAATATATTTATATGTATTTCATCCTTGACCAAAAGAAGCTGAGATGGAAAGCTCAAATCCACTGAAACTAAATGTCTTCAGTCAGTGTGTCAGCCTCCAGTTAACAACAGCGGTGAAAACTGCACTACTGAACCTCTACTGACAGAGTAACTGCAGTTTGGCGTTTCATTTGAACCTCATAGATTTTATTAAACAAAATGGATAAAAAATACTCTACAAAACAGAAGGTGAGCTGATAGTAAGAGGTTCATCATCTCAAACTACAGGGAGTGCAGAATTATTAGGCAAATGAGTATTTTGTCCACATCATCCTCTTCATGCATGTTGTCTTACTCCAAGCTGTATAGGCTCGAAAGCCTACTACCAATTAAGCATATTAGGTGATGTGCATCTCTGTAATGAGAAGGGGTGTGGTCTAATGACATCAACACCCTATATCAGGTGTGCATAATTATTAGGCAACGTCCTTTCCTTTGGCAAAATGGGTCAAAAGAAGGACTTGACAGGCTCAGAAAAGTCAAAAATAGTGAGATATCTTGCAGAGGGATGCAGCAGTCTCAAAATTGCAAAGCTTCTGAAGCGTGATCATCGAACAATCAAGCGTTTCATTCAAAATAGTCAACAGGGTCGCAAGAAGCGTGTGGAAAAACCAAGGCGCAAAATAACTGCCCATGAACTGAGAAAAGTCAAGCGTGCAGCTGCCAAGATGCCACTTGCCACCAGTTTGGCCATATTTCAGAGCTGCAACATCACTGGAGTGCCCAAAAGCACAAGGTGTGCAATACTCAGAGACATGGCCAAGGTAAGAAAGGCTGAAAGACGACCACCACTGAACAAGACACACAAGCTGAAACGTCAAGACTGGGCCAAGAAATATCTCAAGACTGGTTTTTCTAAGGTTTTATGGACTGATGAAATGAGAGTGAGTCTTGATGGGCCAGATGGATGGGCCCGTGGCTGGATTGGTAAAGGGCAGAGAGCTCCAGTCCCACTCAGACGCCAGCAAGGTGGAGGTGGAGTACTGGTTTGGGCTGGTATCATCAAAGATGAGCTTGTGGGGCCTTTTCGGGTTGAGGATGGAGTCAAGCTCAACTCCCAGTCCTACTGCCAGTTTCTGGAAGACACCTTCTTCAAGCAGTGGTACAGGAAGAAGTCTGCATCCTTCAAGAAAAACATGATTTTCATGCAGGACAATGCTCCATCACACGCGTCCAAGTACTCCACAGCGTGGCTGGCAAGAAAGGGTATAAAAGAAGAAAAACTAATGACATGGCCACCTTGTTCACCTGATCTGAACCCCATTGAGAACCTGTGGTCCATCATCAAATGTGAGATTTACAAGGAGGGAAAACAGTACACCTCTCTGAACAGTGTCTGGGAGGCTGTGGAGAATCTGCAGGTGTGTCTGGACTGCACCGACTGGCAGGTTTTCAGGATTGTTATCAACAGTTTGGATTATTATAGAGATGCTGTGACGTCCTGTGACATCAGCATCTGTGAGGACAGCTGCACAGGATCACACACCAGGATGAGTTAGTGGCAGAAGTGGCATGTTGAGTGCCTAGCGGGACTGTCTATTGAGGATATTGGAGATATCTACCTATTTGGAACCATGATAACAGGATTCTTGCTGATCGGAGCTGGCATGGCCCTGGCTTATCGGAAATTGAAGAAAGTGGTGACTGCTGTTCAAACCGGCACAAGGCTAGCCGCTATGATCGAAAGTGTGGGAAGAGCTGTGAGTGCTTGGACTGTTCTTACTGAACAAAATATGGGAAAGATCTTGGAGGAGCTCACAGCTCTTAAACGGGAGATACACCTGGAGACCAGTGATGGACATTAAGAACAACTGTAAAATTGATGCAGTCTGTTCGTCCGAAAACAACATAACCATGATTTCTCATGCGGCTACCCCCCACCCCGAAGGCGCCAGCTGGACGCTTGAAGGCTGAGGCCAACAACGCTTGGAGGCTGATGCCAAGGAGAACAACAACAATTCTTCCCTCAGATATGATAACGAGAACGAGCTGACTCTCTTGCCTGATTCTTCATTGCCACCTCAGTAGGCTGCGGACTGTTGATCTTTGCCTAATAGGCGGAAGGCCACTTTCTCAGGCTGAACACAGGACACGCATCCCGAAACGCACGCAAACATGTACACTGATACGCCCTCACCACCACCCTCCCTTACTCGAATCCAACGCCTCCCCATGCTTACCTCCCATGTGGACAGCGGCTCAACCGGAGTCGGGATCGCAAGATTGCAGATGCAGCTGTGCACACGGCATACTCCCCCATGTTGCTTGTCTGTGTTTTATGGTGTTATGGTATGATGATATCGGTGCTTACTTTATCTGCTATGGAGTTCTTGTTTTCTTCTCATGCTGACTCCCTTTTGGGAACCAGTAATTTCAGCTGCAGGCAACTGCAACCGACAAATAAAGGCATTCATTCCTTGTTCAGGTTTAGTGAGGCTAAACTCCAAAAACTGTTTTCAGCTAATGACTCTGATTCTGTCTGGAAAACACTCAGACAGTGAACCAAGCACAAACCTAAAGACCCCACTCTACCAACATTTCACACGTAGTCATCAGCCTGAACAGCTCCTGCTGTGGATTCTACCAACAATGACCTGTTACTCCCCCACCCAAGACATTCAACACCTTCAGCAACCCCTGTGATTATAAAACACGGCCTGGACATGATCACCACTTCATTAAGTTGCTTGAAGACGTTTCACCTCTCGTCTGAGAAGCTTCTTCAGTTCTAGGTTCAAATGGTGGAGAGTCCCAGATTTTATGGTGTGTTCACACCGAATGCAGTAGACACGACCAAAACGCGCCAGACGCCCCTAGCTTGACACATGCAAATTCGCACCTCGACGCGTGTCCTACGTGAATTATTGAAGTGGGGAAATGTGGGAGGAAGTTGTGCCAGACAGTATGTTTGCAAGATGGCAGCTGTCGAGCTAGCGTTTGAAGAGAGAGTCTCCCTTTTCTATTTACTGTGGAGAACAGAGCAGCGGCATAAAGGACGTCCTCACCGTACCTGGGTCCATCAGGTCCTCCAGAGGCATGAGCAGTTTGGTGAGTTTCACCATTTGCTCCAGGAGCTGCCCCTGGACGACGGGGCAGCTCCTGTAACTAACCTCTCTTTATTCTCTTAACTAATTGGTCATCACTATGTTGCTATATATTAATATTAGTATTTTCATTAGTATAATATGAAATAAATTCTACATGTGTCAAGTTCTGTGCCAATATTTGCTGTGTAGTAGAACTGAGACATTAGTCATTACAAAAATTTATTTCAAATAATATTAAAATTCTCAAACAGAAAAACATTAAACATAAATATAAACACAACTATTTACAGAGAGACTGGAATAAAAAGGACCCAGCTTAAAGTGGAAGACCCTCAGGGAGAAGGAGGAGAAAAATAAGAACACTGTCTCTGCCCTGGAGAGCTGCTGCCTCATCAGAAAACTACTGATTGCTCGGGTCACTTCAAATATAAATGAGGCTGTAGGCATCGTGGTGGGGGGGCGGCATCACGGGCATCGGCAAAAGAAAAAAAAAATGCTCGTACTCATGCTCCCCAGCCAGCGCATATTGGGAATGGCATACGCACCGATCGGTTTTCTGTCGCCCATTTGCTGGGAGTAAGGGCGCCCTCCGTTTGCGAGGTGCGCCTGCTGCTTGCGGCGCAGAGAGGAGAGGGCGGGGCGGCGAGGGATTCTCTGACTGGCTGGAGCAGCATCTAATAACCAACTCGCAAAATAAAACAAAACAAAAACAAACCAACAAACACGAAAACACCAGACATCATGATACAGACTTATAATTTGCACCGATGTTTTTTCAAAATTCTATACGCAAAAAGTGAACGCGAGAGCCCTCGGTGCGCCGGTTCGCTGCTGAAGTCAAAGTAAACTTTATTGTCATCTCCGCTACATACAGTCCAGCATATAGAGAGACGAGACGACGAGGCTCCAGTTACAGCAGTCCAAGTAAACAAACAATAAATGTAAGAAGAGTAAGAAAATAAATATACACTTTAGGACCAGGGGTAAAGGATCAATAACAATTTAAAATGTATAATTTACAGTTTAATGATTTAAAGTCTCACACACAACCCGTCGAAAGGGGAGGGGCTGCTTCCAAATAGAGCGCATTTCATTTATAATGTTGTAAATTCAAGCCCATTATGGATTCATGATTTGAATCCTGGGTTGTGTGAAATCTCAGAAATAAATCTTAGACAAAGTGAACCTGTGAACTAAGGTGTAGGTGTGTTAGATCATGTTGTGGTGATCCTCGGGTTGAGGGATGGGTGTTCATACTGGAGTGCAAAATTAAAACCAATGTAAGATGGACAAGAAAAGTTCAAAGCCATCAGTTCCCCAGTTTAGAAAGAACAGAAAAGAAGAGGAGGAGAAATGAGCAAAAGATACAGGTAAGCAGACGTGTGATTGGATGATGGCAGCTCATCCTGAAACAATCAGAGTCAGAATACTTTATTAATCCCTAAGGAAATAATGTGGGTTACAGTTGCTCCAA